GGGTAACTCAATGAGAAATCTTCCCGGCTCGGCATGCCAGTCACTATAGGCTATAGCACACGACGTTCTAACATCCCCCGGATGATTTTGCCTGAATCGTGGTGATGGCGATGTGGAATTTGTGTTGACCCCTACCTGTTTGAGCAACACGATTCATCAGGCGTCTCTCATCCTGGAGTAGATTTCGGAGCCTCAGAGAGGTCGAAGGATAGTTCTGTGGAACTTCGGACTCGACATGAACATCAATTGATGCCTCGGTTTCTCGTAACGGAGACCGTTTCTCCTCAGCTAGAGCAGTACGTTCAGATGATCGCCGGCCCTCAATGAAAACATTGATCCTCGGAGTGTTTGACAACTCAGTGAATCCATTCTTCTCAACAAAGTCAATGAGCTCCCTAGACTCTTTCTCTAAAGACAGAATGAAGCTTTTCACATTGAAACTGTCACATCTAGTCGTACTCGTTGAGGAGCGTTTACGATTGAAACCCAGAGGAGTGTCTAAGTGAAGAGTTATGCTTGGATCGCCTTCGACCCCCGATACGAATATCGTTAGGAGAATGGTTGTGCTCGCCATACCCATGAAGTTTTTCATAGTAGTACAAGTGCTACAACACACAGTTTTCTAAATAATATTTCCCTATGGGGAATACTGAGTAGATGGAAACCTATTCGGCCCGAAAGCTCAGGAAAAACATGGCCAAACTATATCACAAATATCGGCGAAACGCGCTTTCATGATCCGGTTGTGGGATCTTAGATCATATGAAGTAGGACAGGGCCCAGTATATTCTAAAGGAGCAGAGCACATACCGTTGGAGGTATAACTCCATCCATCCTGAGTAAGCATTGCTAAGCAAGTACCCTTCGCTCAATCCTGCATCATGAACTTACTGGACATGCGCGGTTCAACCGCGCATGCTAACTAGCTAACCGTTAGCTAGACCGCTGCTCTCCCAGGCACCCATTTGAGCCGATAATTTCATTTTCGTTTGATCTACATCGCACCTCTATTATCGAGTATATTAGATTAATAGCTGGTCTCGATGTATCCTATAGGATTTGAACCCACAACCATCTGATCCCTATACACTATTACTAACCACTACATCACATTGACGCATGATGATTACTATCTTAACTTATATAGTAGTATTCTTAATTTGAACATACTGTTCGTAATGTGTATGTGTATGAGAATGATACTCGCCACGGTTGTTGTGCATGTGCATCATCAAAGAGCGTTCGGGTGTTGGGGGCGTTGATTTTCTATTTATAGTGCGTGCACTTCAAATTCGCGTGCGCACATGCTCTGGATTCCTCTAGACCCCGTAGGGGTCCAGAGTGAAGTCATCGGCAACTATCACCACCAATGATTCCATGTATCATCACCAGTTATCGGAGGGTTTTGGGTGGTGGGATTGACCGCGACCATCCCCTCTAAAGCACACTATCACTAACTATTACACCATTTCCTCTCCAGTCACATTACTAAGTTCAGGCACTCCACCTCAACAATTATTATTAAAAATCTATTAACAAGGATTCGATCTCTATATCTTCCCATTACCAACCCGACACCCGAACGACACCAACCATTACCAACCTCGGGGATGTAACACATTTTTGTGTTTGTGATCTTCGTTGCAAGTCGATTGAGTATCAAGGATCCGGAAAGAGCAGAGGGTCTAACACCTGATGAAGTTCTTATGAAACCAGCCGGAGACCAACAAAATTTTCGTAGATGAGCGTTCACATGTGAAATTGAATCAAGAAGAGTTTTACTATTGGTACATAGTGCTCGCCTAAAAGTTGAGGAAGTTATTTGGGCGAAGGCGATTCGCTGAAATTCTCCTTAAAGAACTTGGGATTCTTATCATTTCTAGCGGTCTACAATACTCATTCACGCCATAGCACTGTCAACTCAATTCCCCAGTCTTAACCTCAAGTTCGCAAAGACATCAAGGCACTTCGTGAAAATGGTAGCCTTGCTTAGCGTAGAACACAGAGCACAATGTTGTGAAAAGCATTGGAGATTGAATGTTTGCACAGCTACGCCAACCATCATATAGATCGATCAGGGTAGCGCTGCTTGTACATCTCCAGCATCTTGATACCCAGGTCAGCTGGTGAGCGAACCACATTCGCTCCACAAGCTTCCAGAGCAGCGATCTTGGTGGCAGCTGTGCCTTTACCTCCGGAGATGATAGCACCGGCATGACCCATCCTGAATAAGAATCATTCAACAGGATTCGAAAAAAGACCATGCGGCAATTCACCTTCTGCCAGGAGGCGCTGTAACTCCTGCAATGAACGAAACGACCGGCTTATTGTCTTTATTGTTCTCCTTGAGCCATTCAGCGGCTTCCTCTTCGGCTGCCCCTCCGATCTCACCAATGAGAATTATGCCTATAAGAAAGCGCAGTTGGAGCCACGAGGGAAATACACAACAAGTTGAGGTCAATTGGTTCTACCTTCGGTCTGAGGATCCTGTACGAACCTCTCCAAACAATCGATAAAGTTGGTACCATTGAAAGGATCACCGCCAATGCCAACGACAGTGCTCTGGCCCAAGCCGACTTCGGTTGTTTGATTCACGGCTTCGTAGGTCAATGTTCCTGACCTGAAAGAATTCTTCATCTGATACGCGGCCGTCTTCTTTTCGACGAGGGTTGGAGGCACCTTGAGACGACTCCGATCTTTCCCTTTTTGTGAATGTAACCAGGCATGATCCCAATCTTGCATTCACCGGGCTTGATTATACCCGGGCAGTTCGGGCCAATAAGACGAGTTTTACCCCCTGCCATTTTCAAAGCGGCCTTCACCTGATCACGCATGCCAAACTTGTAACCCACACGTCGAATAACTACCGGATGACGAGCTCACCTTTACCATGTCGTGCTGAGGAATGCCCTCTGTGATGCACACCAGGAGAGGAATTTCCGCCTGGAGGAGAACCAACATGCTATATTCCACCAATAAGGGCATTGCATACCTCTATGGCTTCCAAGCAAGCTGAGGCGGCGGCGAATGGCGGGACGTAGACGACGGAAGCATCAGCCCCTGTAGCTTGACGTGCCTCCATAACGTTCGCGAAGATCGGGAGATTCTGAGACCGCCCTTGGACGAGAACCAACGGACGAAACCCCAAGGTCACCTTGTCTCCCACATTATGGGTGGTCCCAGCCTTCTTAGGATTTACACCGCCAACCATTTTGGTCCCGTACTCTATTGCTTGCGCAGTATGGAAGGTTCCTTGCTTCCCAGTGAGGCCCTACAGAGTAAAAAGTTCAAGTTCAATCCCTGCGTCTGTGCAAAGCGTCTGTGCAAAGCGTCTGTGCAAAGCGTCTGTGCAAAGCGTTGGGCAAATCACCTGACAAATGACCTTCGTGTTCTTGTCGACCCACACACGAGCGGTAGAGGAGAAGGCTCTGCCCTTCAGGCTCGACAGCGGCACAGATGCAGCGATACCGCGCGAGACCAGGGTGGACAGCATAGCTGGAAAATTTTCAAAAAACAATGTGAGAAACTTTCAAGTCCTTGGCATGGACAGTATTCGAAGAACTCAGAAGGCTCGAGAGATGAGCTTTCAAGCAGCGACTGAGAACACGTCTGGGTAGTTCAGTCAGTCGTCTTGGAGCACCACCCAAGGTAAGGTATAAACTGAACACACAACCGACTGATTCAGATAGAACAGTTAACCTAGGCATAAGCCTCAGCAAGCCTGCAATAACGCCTTGGCACACGATCCAGGAGCTCCTGGTGGCGGCACGGGTGTTGTTATCTCAAGCAAGACTAGTTACGACCCAGTGAGGAGGATCCCCGAAGGGCCCTGACCGTGAAGATCACCAGCGAAAAAAGTCTAACGTAAGTCGCACTTTGCGATCGCTGGAGCATACAACGCGATACGAGATATTGATACTACATCGAGCCTCACGCCCACAACGCCCTGGGAACACAGTATCCAATCGGTTTTGTGGAATTTCTACTATGAATCATGACCCGTCATACGTCCATCTGTGGGTGAAGGAAGTGCTGTTATCATCCCAGGTGAGAGAAGGTGGATTTTTCGGTATCACTCGCATTAGACTTGCCAACACAAAACGGCACCAGACACTCCAAATGGGAATATTTTTTGCAAAATGTGACATTTCTATGATCAACACAGGTACTTGGAGATCAGGTTAAAACTAACATGGCCCTTCAGTATGACCAGCGAGACGACTTACAGAACGGCACTTATAGGCATAGTACGTAGATAGCGATATAGGTCTGGCCACGGGGGGGGGGGGGTTAAGGTAGTCGCGACACAGGGCCCTTCGCTCGTTATGATGGTGGTAGTTGGTATCCCATGGACGCATAGTATTTGCTCCAAGCAGCCATATTAGCCTGATTACTCGCGGCAACTTGTTGTTGATATGCAGCCCATTGAGAATAGTATTGAGCCATTGGGTCCATCCCACCCCCGCCACCACCTTGCATCATCATCATGCTGCCTGACATACCGTACCCCTGCTGTGATGGAGGAGGCATTATCCCAGCGTTATAGCCCTGCGATTGCGGCTGTTGCTGCATCATAGGCCCCTGAGGACCCATTCCCTGTTGTTGTGGCTGATAGTTCGGGTATTGTTGCTGCACGATTGTGACGATCCTCCCATTAGTCTTCATCGATAATTGCATCAGAGCTGCTTGGACTCCCGACGCCGGTCCCTGCAGAGTCATTTTGCGAGGGGTCCTCTGGTCCACACCTTTCTCAATCTGACACTCCGACAGGCTACACTGTGATTTCAAACCCTTCACATTTTCACCACCACGACCAATGACAAGCCCAGCACATTCAGCGGGTACGTCAATAACGGCTCTATCAATCGGTCCCGATGCCGGCAGAAGATGAGACCATAGGTCTTGGCCCCCGAAAGCCCCGTAGGGTGCATGCGCAACATATTCTGTCCGCATACCGTATGATTGGTCCCAACCGCCACTGCCCTTGCCGCCAGATCCCCATCCAGCGGGGGAGCGCAGCTCTGACTCATCTCGACGAAAGTTGGGGTTCAGTTCTTCAAACTCTCTTATGAGAGCCTTCACATCGATAAGGTTGTCTCGGATGCCCTCTACCATTTTGACGCCCGCTTGGACTTCCGCAGGAGTGCCTATGATTCTGCAGGCACGCGCCTCGCCACGCTGGAGACCTCGCTGCTGCATATCAATCCGGCAGCCCGTGCGATCTGCAATGACCTGGGAATAGATAGTAGTAAAAGCACAGTGCAGAGGTCAAGACAAGAAGCGCCCCACTACCTTCACGACGCACCCGCGAGGTCCAAGAATATCGCCAACCCGATCATCCGGGACTTGAATGATATGCTGAATCTCACCCTCAAGAGGCTCCATGGGTTTGGTCTGGCGCTCTATTGCACGGATCGCTCGCTAACAAATAACAGCAGGCTACGAAGATTAGCGTTTCCACATCGAATTCGCGATACAGTGTCTGTCAGCGGTAAGTGCCTACTTGTAAGTCTTCGTCGTTCTGACCATCTATGTGAAACAGCGAGTAGCCTTGCTCCTTCGTATATTGGTCGCACTGAGGCCGAATGAGAGGTCATTAATCACGACTTAGGGATTACCTCAATGTGACACCGAGATGTGTTCCGAATACTCGTCAAGTTGGCTCCGCCTCGGCCGATAATTTGAGCCACACAGTGCTGAGGAACCTTCAACGTGTGGCGGAACGGCCCAGCCTCAGCTCCCCAGCGATGATGGTCGAGCGGCCTGTCCGGAGCAGCAGGGCCGAAAGGAATCGCCGAGATGGAAGAACCGATCGGAGGTGCACCTAGGGGCAGTGGGGGTGTCGCCGTGAGCGGGAGCAGCGACTACTCGAATTACCATTGATGCCCGGAGCGGTCTCGTCAGCAGATCGTTTCATCTCAATAGCATTCCGCGTTACCTCCGCCTGATTTCCAGTTTCCTGTACTTGTTCTCCTTCACCCGCTGCCTTCTTAGTGGGGGGTTCTTCATTGGAAGAATCCGCCCCTACATCACCTTCCTCCTCACGAGGCCTCTTTTCGCCACCAGAGATGCTCTTAGTTGCTGCTGGTAGCTCCTCGGCTGAGGTCGAACCCTCGACAACGGGGACCTGCCACACAAGTCAGCATACCATTGGCAACGACGAGCAAAGGCATTCTAGTATTACTTGCGGGTCCCGGCCGGTTTCGTCTTCCGGTAGAGCAACAGCAGCAGCAGCAACGCCAGACGTAGCTGTCACTGGATCGGCTGCAGTCAACCCAGAAGCCGACATGAAAGAAACTCCCTGATGCAGAAATCCTACCATCACTCGACTATCTCATCTTGAGCACAATATCGGGCGCGCGCGTTTTCAAGTATTATCGCGCAAGCCCGAATCTATTTGGGATGTTCAGCCAACTGACCCTAGTTGAGCTTGCTCCAACCTGATCACCTTGTGCTCCGGAAGGCTCCGCTGATACTATCTCCTCGAATTGATTTGTGATCCTAGTGACTATGAGTCGACTGTGCGACTGTGCGAAATGCTTCTACCATACAAATGCGATTTATGCTTGACTGGCGACGATTTGCTGCTGGTGACTCGAGGGAGGCATGGTGTTGCAGTCACTTATGACTGGTTAATCTGAGATGACTTGGCTGTGTGGTGATAGTGATCATCTCCCTGTGAACGTCCATTTAGGCGATTTCCCGATGGGATGGTACACTGATTGTTGCAGCATAGTGTTGTTTTTGTCAACGGAACCTTCCCGAGAAACTCAATAATGGCTGACGAAGCACCGAGCACCGTGGTGAACAGAGGGCTCGACTCCCTTGTCAAGGACCCCCGAGCCACTCAAGACTTCAGTGCCGAGGCGGACACTGCTATTTCCACCAGCCGTGATATGGTCAAGGTGAGACGAGTTTCGGCGCTGGTCGGGACTTTGATGCTCCTCACAGGCTGGACGAATTGATGAGGCTTTGGACGCTCTAGCAGTGTTGGAGAAGAAGGCTCGGCAATCCAGCGACGCGGCAACTTGCAGTCGCCTCCTAGTGGAGATGGCCACTATCATGTAATCCCAAAGGTGATAACCGGGACTGCACTGAGATCGGGAGCAGATACAATGCGAAGCAATTCGATAGACTGTTGGAGATGATTCACGTCATGACGAAGAAGCGAGGTCAACTGAAGCGCGCCGTTGCCGATCTGGTAGTCTGCCGTTGGGCATGGGCAGGGACGTTGACGAGCATTCGTAGGTACACGTGTGCATGGGATGGTTGGACAACTTGGATAGGAAACAGCAATATGCTATGGTCGACACTCTCTCTGAAGTCACAGAAGGTAATTTCTGGCAAGGGATAGGTCCTGACAGGTCAGCACAGCGCGACAACATTAGCACATTGATTGGGCGGACCGTAGTAGTCGTTTACCGTCACTGATGTGCACCCTCAGAGTGCGACTTCGCCTGTATGATAATCTGATAGCTGAGCGTTGAGAATGTTCAGGGGTTCGAGTGATAACGTTGACGTCGACTTGACGTATTTTTTAGGCAAGATATTCGTCGAAGTTGAGCGCGCTCGACTGCGTTTGAGGCTTGCACACATGAAGGAGGAAGATGGAGAACCGATTGAGGTATACCCCCAGGTCTATTCGTCATACCTATGAGTGCACCATGAGGCTACGGTACACGTTTCGAATTGTTAGGCCGCGAACATCATCCAAGATGAGCAGGTTGAGACATGTGGTGCGATGGAGAAAAACGAGAAGGCCGAATACATTCTGGAACAGGTGAGGAGCGATCTAAGAACCTATTGCTTCATCTCATGCACTCGTTACTCAGATGCGTCTAGTGCTGCGAAAAGGCGACTACATACGTAGGATATGCGCACTGTGAATGTAGAGGATTTGGCCTCACAGGCACACAAATAATATCGAGGAAGATCAACCCGAGGCAGTTGGAGAGGGATGAGGGCATGCAGGATATCAAGATCACATATTATACGTAATGATGGAGGACGTGAGCTGGCGATAGCTGTTGCTACTGATAGGTATCTTGTTCGCTACTGGCTTCACGAGAAGAACTACCTGGAGGTGAGTCCGGGACGCATGGAATCGTTCTCAGCGTCGTTCTGATAGGTGTATAAGTGCTACCGAGCTATACTGAATACTAAGAAGACTCAGGAGGATGAGTCCAAATGGACTGAAGTAGTAGTGTTTCCTGTGTGTATTGTTATCACTCTATTGTGGTTCGCTAGGCTCTGGAGTGCTCGGTGCTATATCTGATCCTGTCGCCTTACTCCAATGAGCAAAGTGATTCTCTGTACAAGCTGCGAGAGTCTGAGAAGAAACGCTTGGAGAGCGTCCCGGTCTACAGGTGAGCTCTCATATGCAAACTGTCGGTGATGCCGACTCGGCATTTTTTGATTGTCAGTGATTTGTTGAACGCGTTCCTGGCTGAGGAGCTCGTGCCATCTCCGCTTCCCAACGAAGGGATTGTCAAGGCTCATAAGGTACTTTGAGAATCTCGTGGACTTGGTTTTTTTATCGGGCGGAAAGCATGTAGTGGATTTCAGGTGTTCAACGATGCTGTTGCCGACAAGGAGGCGGAATATTTAGGGTAGGTGAGACGTTCTGACCTTCTGGCAGTTGTTCGTTTTCAGCGGGGCCGAGAGATGGAGCCTTTTCCGGAAGCGCGTTGTCCAACATGTCAGTAGTCATATTTTGCTCCCCATTCCTGGTCTTCGGCGGAGCGAAATTTGTGTTCCTCAGAATATCGTGAAAGTGGCTGCCGTGTACTACACCAGGATTCATTCTGCATCTCTGTAAGTCGCGTTGCCATTGGAGAGTTCGACTGTGGCATTACTCTCGTTGCTAGGGCGAAGATGATTGGAGTTACTGTGGACGAAACTGAGAAGGAAGTATGCGAGCTCGTGACTGGTGGCTTCCTTGATGCCAAGATCGACCGTCCCGCCGGAATAATCAGGTAGGCGGAGCGAAGCTCACAGACTCTAGTGTCGCATACCATATATCAGGTTCGGTCGGAGGCTGACTACAACCCAGCGTTTGGATAAGTGGAGCTCAGATATACATAACCTGTTGGACTTGGTCGAGTCCACTGGCCATCTCATCGCTAAGGAGCAGATGGTAGTAGGCCGAGTCGGACTTGGTGGTTTCGACCTGTGGTTGATGGGATCTCCGAGTTGCATTGTTTGCGTCTTGTCAGATCAGCGCTGCTCGAGCAAAGATGCGCGCGAGAACTACGGCAGCTAAGTGAATATGATACCCCCAATATGTTGCTGGAATCGGATAAGTTTCATAGCGCAGTAAATCAGTGTCTTCGCGTTCGTCTGTGATTGATCATTCTCACCGGTGCCCTGGGTGCACATAGGGGGTCAGGGCTGGGTGTCTGTAGGGTTCTTGGCATACGATTACGGCTCTATATTAATTGCTTCGTTGGATCCCTCCTAGGGGTTCCCCAGCAGTATAATGATTCACCTGGCTCGACTGCTGTGGGTAAGTCTTCGCTTCCAGGTCGGTGCCATGGTCCTGCTAGTATTGTTAGCGATGCTTGTTGGTCCCGTTTCGGTCATTGCTGTAGAAATAGTGGATGCTCTGTAAACTACTACGTGGAGTCCTCTATCTGTGTGAGACTGCATGTTACAGGACTCAGGAGACCACCGCCGGTGGTATCCGCGGAATTTTCACGTTCAACTCGCATGAAGTGGAAGGTGCTTATCAATGTGGTAGTTTTGCATTTCATAGGAGTAGCCAATGTAGACGTTAGGAAGGAGTCCGGGCATTGCTTTTATGTGGAAAAAGAATTTCACACTTCTGACATGGTAGATTATACGAGCCACAAGTGAAACGTTAATCACCTTCATCTTAAGGGCATCATTGACGTCATCAGAATGTGGGTAACAGTTTGAGTTTTCCTTTTAACTCTTCCTCCACCTGAGTGATGACCAAATGCCCACCCTCCTCCTCCTCGTCGTCGAGTGGCTCCGACAGGATGGATTTCATGAGGCTGGCGTTGGTTATATACGACCCAGATGGACTGTAATAGGGATGAGGGAACTGCTGCTCATGCTGGCCAGCTTCCGGGTCATTTCAGAATTGATCGTGACCTTTGGTCGACCGAGCGCTTTTGGACGAGTAACGTGTTGTACACCCTGGTATGGGCAGGCTCTGGGTGGATGTGGAACCGCGCTTGGGGGCCATACGCACTGGCTACTCTCGAGCACCTCGATGTTGAATCTCCGATCCGTAAAAATGCCGATCGTTATATGGAGATTTCTACGGAAGATGTTGAGAATCCCGAACACGCCCTGAGCAAAGTTCACGAAGCCTTGTCGACGCACCCACTGATCGCCGTCCCGTGGCCGGTCTTGGTTGAAAGAGCATGGAAGCTTCAGCCAAAGAAGGTGGCGCTCACATGTGGAGACCAGACGATCACTTACGAAGAGTTTGTGGCATATGCCGGTATTGTCCAGCGTATGTGCATGCGTACGGTGGAGCGAGGTGCACATGTTTTGGTGACCTTCTCGGACTCCCCGTGCTCGAGACTCACCTGGGCCGTGGTTATGTATGCCTTAGCCGCTTCGGGAGTGCCTTTTTCTTTGATGGATCGACGCACTTTGACCAACGCTCCTGCTCGCGAGAGAATGCTTGAGCGTTGGGTGCCGAAAGTTTGGATTTGCTGTGATCCGGAGGCTCATGCTGCTCCGGTCGGTGGTATGGCGAGCATCCCTTGTCGCACAGATGTAGCGCTGGACTTTATTAACAAGGAGGTCGTGGTCGATGGAATGAGCAGCCCGGTTCAATTCCCTGTAGAGGCACCCCAAATACTGGCGACAGCGGAATCGCCGTGTTTTGTGGACTGGACGAGCGGGAGCACGAGCGGCCTCCCGAAAGGTGTTGTTACTACGCACAAAACCTTAATTAATATGATGCTTTGGGCGTGGAGCGACGAACGCATGTTTTTCAACAGCGGAGCGATGCGGGAGGTTGTTGCTGCAAATCTCTTCCTGTTGTGGTATTGGTGGCAGCCCCTTTGTATCGGCGCCTCGACGGTGCTGATCCAAGACAAGGAGCTGAACGATTTGGTAGGTCTGCAAGTGGAGGCATCCTTATGAGGGTGGTGGTTCTGTCAGGAGGTGCATGCGAGGAAGCTGCGCTGTGATTCTGTGACTATTGTGGATTGCATGACGCCTTCCCTACTAGGAGCTATGCTCGACTATATCAGTGGCGAGGTAGGCCTCTGGAGGCTGTCTCGTGAGAGTGGAGATTCAGGGAGGGTGTGGACTGTTGTAGGGCCCAGCGAGAGCGCTTAGTTCGGGTTATGGGAATTACGCACTTTTCACAGCGTTTCTCGTCTTTATCACGGAGCTACTTCCACTTCCTCAGGATGATGAGGAACTCGAACGCCTTCCCCCTAAGGTGGTGGTCAGCGGCGAACCTCTTTCAGTGCAGGTAGGAGGTCCTAGGAGGAGGCATCAAGCCTCTCGCAAGTCGATCACAGGTATGTCGGAAGTTCTTCGAGACTCAACCTGAAGGGTCGCGCATCATCAACTTGTTCTCGACTACTGAGACCGGAGATGCGGCATTTTGCTCTATTCTCAAGGAGGAACTACCTCTGTGGTCGGAAGCTATGGCGTTTGCTCCGATTGGAAATCCCATATGGAACGTGAAATTGCACATAGAGGAGATAGATGAAAAAGGTATGTGGAGCCACTCGCCTTATTTGCCTCAGCACTGGGGAGTTTGTCTGTTATTCATATCGCTTGGGCATTTCACTGTCGTTTTGTCAGACGAAGCGGGCGGCGGGGAAGGAGAGCTTTATGTGGATCATATTGGCGGCACGATGGCCTATGTAGAGGACAGCGAGCAGACCGCAGCGGGGTTCGGCTCCGGGTATGGATGGAGATCTCGGGACAGGGTGAAACCCATCGACGGACTCGGCCTGGCTATCGTGGGAAGAGCTGATGATAATGTCAAGGTGAGCCGTCTTTGGGAGCAACCTCGTGTGTAACCCTTGTCAGATCCGTGGCTTCAAAGTTGACTTGCGCCTGGTCGAAGCGAAGGCTCGAGATTTCGTGGGGGTGGGGGAAGTGTGCGCGATGCCTGCCCAGGATGAGCTCGTGATCGCTTATACAGCGCCCGCTGGGGCTGTGGAGCCCCATGATCTCCTCGACTTTCTCCGTGCCGAGGACCTCCCCGCAGGGCATGTTCCGCAGAGGGCGGTTCATTGGCAAGGGGCCTTCCCTATGATGAAAACGGGCAAGATCGACAAGGGTAAGGTCAAGGAGCTTATCGCTAATGTGAGGAGGGCTCGTGCGAAGAGTTCGCAAGACACCCTCAATGCTAGTAAAAGCTCCATGCGTGGACAGATCGAGAAGCGAGTGGCTTCTGTCTGGGAGGATACTTTGGGCATCGATTTCTCTCTTGATGGGTCCTTTTGGCGCCAGTGTGGTGGTCAATCTTTGACGGCGATGAGAATAGCGGCAGCGTTGAGGATTCCAGCGAAGTTCATTTTGGACGGCACATTGGACACTCCGAGAGACATCATAGACTTCTTGACGCAAGGTCGTGATGCGCCGAGGAGGAATTTGCAGCTTGGGACCAGTTTAGGGCGGAGCGATGCGAACGAAGATCGACGGATTGCTGTTGTTGGAGCTAGTGGAAGGTGGCCTGGCATCGGCCAGACTAGTTTTTCGGCTCTTCTCGAGGCCCTCAGGGGCGAGCCGGCCGCGTTCAATCCTTTCTCCCCTCCTCCTGATGGGCACACCGGCGTTGGTAAGTCACCGATCTACTACACAGCTGCTATTGTATTGGCATTAGGTAATGTGCCCGGCGGTTACTATCTAGACCCACATCTGGTTTCTGGCTTCGACGTTGACTTCTGGTCCCGTAGAGGGGTTTCGGATCCCCTCCTGTTGGATCCTCATCAACGCATGTGGCTGGAGATGGCCTACGAAGCGCTCACTGATGGAGGCATGGGCCCTGCCATAGAGACGGGGGAAGCGATAAACTGTGGGGTAATGTTGGCATCGGAGGGAGCCTCAGCTGTGGCTTATTAGTCGTTTTTTGCTGATTGTTGTAGGTATTCGTGTCTGGTGGTTCACTTCCGCACTATCTATCTCTGTTGCTGGAGCCTGGCGAGAGCCTCCCTTCAGTTCGCATGTCCGACCCGGACCGATATTTCACTTTGGAGATGGGCAACGATAAAGACTATATTGCCATGCGCACTAGCCATGCGTTAAACCTCACTGGTCCCTCCATGTGTATCGGTACAGCATGCTCATCAGCTCTCGTCGCCATCTGCCAAGCTGTGGAAGCTCTGCGTGATGGGACATGTGACATGGCCCTTTGCGGTGGCGTCTCGTTGGTTCTGCCGCAGAATGAGCACGCGAGCCAGGAAGGCATGATATGGAGCTCGGACGGCAAGTGCAAGCCCTTCACCGACCAGGCCAGTGGGACTGCGAACAGCAACGGTGGTCACTGCTTTCTCTTGAAACGTTATGACGATGCTTTGAGAGACAGCGATCCAGTCTACTGTCTTATCTCGGGAGTAGGGGTTTGCAACGATGGGGCTGGTGAGCCGTTCTCAGCCCCCAGCGTCGACGGCCACGAGAGAGCTATTCGAGCGGCTCAGAATGACTGCAGCAGTGCCATCAGTGGAGAAGTGGGAATGATAGAGGCTCATGCCACTGGGACGTATGTTGGGGATCCTATAGAGGCTGAAGCTCTTAGTGGTCAATACTGGAGGAACAAAGGTGAGGGAAAAATTTCCGTGGGAAGCGTGAAGGGCAATATCGGACACGCGAATACAGCAGCTGGCGCCATGGGATTCGCTAAAGCCGCTATGTGCGTATACGAGGCTGTGTTAGTCCCTTCTGGCTCATCCTCGGAAGGTAAGGACTATAAAGGCCGTCCCTCGGGAGATCGACTCTATTTTCAGGGAATGTGAATCCTCTATTGTCGCATCGTCTCGAAGCATCGAACATGGAACTCCAACGTGTCTTCGAGCCGTGGTATGGATCACGTCGAGTTGCGGCTATCAGCGCCCTGGGTATTGGTGGCACTAACGCTCATGTTATCATAGAGAGCGGGCCGCACGCTGTCAAGTCACCGATGGCCGTGTCTGAGAAGGCTCCCATATGTATCCCCTTTTCTTCGTACAGCCAAGACGGCCTGCGAAAGGGAGTGGAGGGCCTCATCAAGTTCCTCCAGGTCTCCCCCGATTCTGCCGATCTTGCGTCGGTCGCGTACACGCTCGGCATCTTTCGACCATCTCTTCCGTATCGGACTGTCGTCGAGTTCACCAGCTCCCTCCCTGACGCTGCTATTGCTCAGTTGGCAGACATTGACTTCGAGGATGTCAACGAATGTTCTGGTGCTTGTGAATGCGTTACGCTTGTTTGTCCCGGACAAGGTCTGGCTCTGCCTCAGCCTGGAATGGTATTCATCGAACCCGAGATAGTTGCTCTTCTGGGCGAGGACCCTGTCCTCACCTATCATCGTCAGCCGACCCCCGTCACAGCACAGGTCGCCTTGTTCGCCATCTCCTATTCTACGACTTTGCGCCTTCTACGTATCATACCCGAAACCACTCGAATCCAGCTGCTCGGTGCTTCGCTGGGTGAATGGGTGGCCGCGACTGTTTGCGGGGTGATGCCTTTAAAACAAGCTTTGCAGATTGTGCGCCTCCGTGCAAGACTCATCACTGAAGGCAACACAGGCAAAATGTTAGCTATAAATGGTTCGACCCTAGAGGATCTATCACAGCTGCCGGGAGGCGTCGAAGTGGCCTGCGCGAATGCTGACAAGCGCATCGTTGTGAGCGGCCCACCTGAGTCTATTGAGAGCTTCAAGGCCACACTTGAAGTGCCTTGCAAAGTGCTGGATACTGCAGGGGCGTTCCACTCGACATACGTTGACCGAGCAGTGGCCGTATTGGAGAAGGAGATTCCAGTTGTCGTTCCGGACCTTAGGAAACCTTGCAAGTACAACCTCATCAGCACCGCCACGCATGTCGATGGCGAGTGCGATTTCGCTTCTGCTCGGTATTGGTGCCGCCAGACGAGACGAACGGTGATGCTTGGACGCGCCCTGAAGGAGGCCGGCGAAGGTGGAACGATGTTCATCGATGTGGGGCCTGGTGCGGGCATGAGAACTCTTATTCGCGAATGTGTCCCTAGCGCCGAAGTCTTATGCGCGGTGCGCTACTACGACAAGACTGATGACGTCCTGCGCGGTGCAATGTGGGCCAAGGGAATCCTATCCAAGCCACCGGTGCCCGAGAAAGAGGGGTTGTCGAGAGTTCTCTCATTGCCGATGAGAGGGTGGAGACGAACAAAGTGCTGGCCGGCAGATCGAGACACCAGCAGAGACTCTCACCCAGCATCGTCTGCCTCTGACGTGACCAGTATGATGTACATTGAGGACTGGAAAGACCTTCCGGTAACTCCTCCTTCTCTTGATAATGGACCTTCGAGGGAGCTCGCTGGTATCCGCCTCTTAGGACGGGTTCCGAGCTGCGGGGATGTCATGTGGTGCCGAGATGTATCTGAGTTCGACGTCGTGGTGAAGTCGCTCGGTCGAGCCATCGTAGTGGTAGACGCCGAAGACGATAGTGATCCTATAAGTCTCCTCGGCGATGTTATCAAGTTTGTACAGGAGAGTTTGATACCGAACGGCCGTCTGCTCTCCCACATGGACACGTTCTTGGTGATACGTGACTGCCAGTGTGCAAGCTCAGTCGTGGGTTTCGCAAGGTCGCTCATGTCCGAACATGGTTCCAACCTAGGCTTGAGGATTGTCCGAGTTCTCGATATGAAGAACTTGCCCTCGTTCATCGAGTTGCCCAGTTTAGGGGAGTACAAAGTGGCAGATGGTACTGTTAAGCTTCGGCAACTCTGCCGTAGTCCGCCAGCGACGCCAAGGGCTGACCTCAGCCAGCAGCTCGGTGATGGTGTCATTGTGATTACGGGCGGCTTTGGTGGTCTTGGGCAACTCGTTGCAAAGTGGGCGGTTGACAACCTCAGCTGCAACAAGATCGTTCTCCTCGGCCGAGCGGCCTCCTCGTCGCTGAGTTCGCTCAGTCTGCAGTGCCCGGTCGACGTACGGATCGCTGACGTCAGTAACAGTGCTTCTCTTATCGACGCCATATCTGAGTATCGTGGAATGGTGACCGTCGTTTTCCACTGTGCTGGTGTGGTGGAAGACGCTGTTGTTGAAAATGCTCCCTCTGACTATCAAGAACTTTACCGAGCTGTTGCCGCGAAAGTCCTCGGCCCAGTGAATCTCGTGAAAGCGCTAGGATCGGGTCCTCGGTACGTGTTGTTCTCCTCGAGTTCAAGCGCATTCGGCAATCCTGGGCAGTCTGTTTACGCAGCCGCCAACTCCGCCTCCGACTACTTCGCGGAGAAGTCTTCAGCTGACGTATTGTCTATTCAATGGGGTGGCTGGTCTAAGTCGATCGCGAGCAGTATGTCTGCCAAATACAACATTAATCCGACAGCAGGGGAGCACTTCTTACAGCCTCGTGAGGGTCTCCAAGCCATGGGCAACCTCTTGAGCAGTCTCGCCGATGGTCATCTGAAGTCGAGGAGTGTAGTGGTCGCGAATATCTCTGACTGGCAAACTATCTCAGCGCTGCTGGTCTACCACGAGAG